TAGTGCAAAACAAACTCTGAAAGTTGTCACATTATTAAGTATCACAAATATTATATTAGTAAATCTTAATTTACATCTAACTTCACCTATATAATATTTCATATGTAATATTGTAATTTTAAATCTAACACCTAACACATCAAATATGTAACATCTAATAGCTAATAATATTTTCTGTTAAAGCCTCAATTTTCAAATAAAAGAAAAAAAAGAATGAACAATCAAATGAAGTGATAGTCTGACTTAATTTATAAATCTCATTTACATTTCATATATCTATAAACTGCATTGTGTTAAGTTGAGCTGAGATGAAGGTATTTCGTGTGAAAATGGTCCGGGACAAATATCGCACTCATTTTTTTGTGTATCAAAACATATACATTTTTCGGTATCATTAAATGTATTTTTTTTGTATTATTACTTATATTAAAAATTAAATATTTCCTAAATACTTAAAAAATATAAATTTTGATTTATTTAGTTATAAAAGCACTTCTAAAATGGCAAACATTAAACAATTTTAACTTTTTTATTTGGTTTTCATGGCTAACGAAATTTACATGGGTCGCGAAAAATGTTTGGTAAGAAAACTGGGTCACAGGTCGAAAAAGGTTGAAGACCACTGGTATAAAGAATAGAATATAGTGAACAGTGAACCTAACCTAACCTTTATATTTTCGTCGTATAAAAACCGGGGTGATTGAGCTGATTTTCCAGATGGATGGAAATACTCCATTCTCGAGTGATTTATTAAATAACAAGAAATCAAGATAAGCAAGAGAATCTGATAAATTGGAGAGAAAATACCATCTGGTCGGGAAGATTTGGATTTATATAAAGATCACAAGCCGTCCGATACTTCATCAAATGAAATAGAGCAGTGTGAAGGGAGGATATGGTCAAATTTTTTAATTGAAGAAGTTAATGTAGAGATGTCTACTAGGGGAATAACTGGCGGTTTATATACAGAAGAAAAATAAAAAGAGAATTGTTCAGCGATATCTCTATCAGTATTAGCAGTTTTATCGTTTAAGGAAACAGAATTAAGTATATCACGAGAGCTATTATTATAAGAAACCCAATTCCAAAATTTTTTTGGATTTATTTTAATTTCATTTTCAGAACGGCGTATAAATTCCGAATATACGGAATTAGATTTAGATTTATATTGTACTCTCAATTTAGAGAAGTTTTCATAATAGTTATGAAAATAATAATAATAATCTAATTATCAGATTTGGTTCTATTTTTCATATGAACGGAATAAGTCTTAATTTTTTTTCAGAAGGATTTGAGATCTTTATCAAACCAGCAAAGAAAATTATTATTATCATTAACTATTTTTTGGGGAACAAAACTAAATAAGGCTTTTAATAATGCGTCTTGGAAAAGGTTAGCAGTTGCTTCAACATCAAGATTATTAAAATAATTAAACCAATTGAAATAATTAAAAAATAAATTAGCATTTTAATAATTCCCTGAGTTGTATAAAAAAATATTAATGTCATTGTTAAGATTGGGTGCGAGGATGGATAGCTTACAGTTAATTAGGAGTACAGGATGATAAGGGTTAACTGGAATTATTGGAAAAATACAAGAATCGATTGCTGTATCTCGGAAATTTGAAAATATTGAGCCTAAGACATTACCAGACAAGTTAACAGTATTATTGAACTGAATTAAGTTTCAAACTGAGAAATCCTAAATAAGGGACTGTCCTACGGAGAACGAAATAAAATTGAAAATCTTAAAACCAGTCTTACCACCTACCCAAGTTAAGGAAGACATATTATAATCACCATAGATAATAAATTTACTATTGAGATACATAATGGATTCTAACGATTCAATAACTGAGACGGGGTTTAAATATAGCTGTAAATCATTGTCAGGAGGCATCATATACACAGCACAAATTATAATCACAATATTTTTTATTTATATTTTTGTATAAACCTGTTCGACGTTCAAAGTGTCGATGCTTAGTAAATTAGAACTAAAGGTTTTTTTGATAGCGATGGGAACTCCACCACCACAGTTAAGTGTGATAGTTTTCTCATTTCTATCACAACGGTAAACGTTGTATCGAGTAAAACCTCACTCATTGTTGAGAAAACTATTATTGAGTCATGTCTAGAAAACTAGAAACTAGAAAATCAAGTAAAAAAGATGGAATTTAACATTTTAGTAGATAAAGTTTAGTACATAGACCGCGAAAATTTTGATAGTAACCGATGAGATTAAAACTAGTATGAAAAAAGTGTTATCGGAACGTTTATTAGATTTTTTTGTTTGAATTAATAAAGAAAGTATTTAATTTATTTTTATATTTTAATTTACTATTGGTCTCTGCCCTTTGAATAAGTTTTTTGATACAGTTGATACGATTTTTGGCAAGCCGTTGAAATAGTGGACTTTGATATTCTGTTTCCCAGCATTTTCTTGATTGTGGTAATCAGTGTAGATATCCTTATTGTGGCGTCGTTCTGTTTGGGTGCGGTTATATGTTTAATATTTCATTGTTATTTCATCAATAATTTATTATTCTAGTCACTAATGTAAAAACTTGGTACACACATTTGTCATTCAGACTGCACACTTTAATTTTCAGAGTACACACTATGTGTCAAGGTACACACTATTTTAGGCCCTGATTTTGATGCGTTAAATGTTCTATGTTTATAAGTACATACTCTACTATTGTTTTTTCTCAATATTATGTAGAGTATTTTGTAGGTGATTTTTCACAAAGAGTTTTAGAAATATTAAAATAAAATAAAAGAACAGAACAATTGTATTCAGTTAAATTATTGAACTGTTTAGAGAATATAAGAGATGATGATTCAAAGTAAAGTTATCTTGTAAGAGATGAAAAATATATTACAGTACAATATTAAGGTAAAAAGTTTAATTATTATAAATATGTAAATATTTTGGGAATGTAATTAAGTAGTAGTACTGGGATTTACTTATAGTTAGTTGTGACGAACACTAATTTGAGACATTTTGTACAGATTTTTACATAGCAAAATATTACTTTTAATTTATTCATAGCATAACAATTTTAATTTCTCGTTATTTTCGAAAAACGAACGTAACCATAGCGGTTATAGAGTGTTTGATTGACTTGATAGAATAAAAAACTATTTTCGCTCTATAATGGCACAAGACCGGTATTTGGCTTTAGCGGTATTAACAATTGAAGCTGAAAAAACCACTTTATTAGATTTTGAAGAAATAATTAATGATTTTGTTAGTTCTGAATCAAGGAAAAAAAATATTTAAATTTTGTATTAATATTGTATATCTAGCAATTAATAGAGGTTTTAAAAAATAATATTAATTAGTAACAACATTTTATTTTTTGACTGGAAGGGGGGGGGCAAAATATGTGTTGCCCTTACCTTGAAATTCCTAAATACGCCACTGGGTACAATGGGATGCACTTGCATCCAAAAAAAAAAGGAATAAAATTTAAAAATGTAGGTTAGGGACTATTGTTATCATTATCGAATTTTTTAGTAGCCTGCATTATTTCGATGCCGTCGAAAAAACGAAAATAATGTACTGTCATACAATTTGAAAAAATATTCCTACATATTTAACTTATACAATTTAAACATTATTTAGAAATTAGTGTATTTACTATGCATGATTCACCCCGGGGTCTATTTTGAAGATTTTTGTCAACAGCGTGATTATTTTACAAACTGCTTTACACATTTGCAGTACATATTTATATGCAATAGGCAGTGGCGTATATAGGGCCCATAGTAAAATTTTGAATTCAATTAAAACATTTAATGCATAACACTAAATTATATAACTATATATTTATATGATACCATGTCCCGCACCTACTATTATTGTTGTTGTTCTATGGTAATATGTTGTTTTTGAGGTATACAATTTACGTTACTGACTGATACCATGGTTCTCCAGAAGTGTATTTTAGAATTACGAGTAGTTTTTTTATTCCATATCTTGATGAGCTATCTACGTCATTAACTAACAGATTTACCAAACAAAAAAAAGTTTTTTCAAGTCTTATACATATTGTACCATTTTAAGTGATTAATTCTAACTATACTGATGTATCAGATGCCATTAGCTTTTACCAAACTGATTTTAAAGATAGCTATAATCCATAAATTATTGAAGGTGAATGGAGACTATGGAGAAATAAATTGAAACTTTTTTTGTTTAAATTCATCTGACAGTATTTCAAAAAATGCTATTAAAGCTTTAAAAAAATGTAACAAAGATGAATTTCTAACAATATATGTCCTGTTGAAGATATTAAGTACCATACCTACTACTACTGCATCTGATGAAAGGAGTTTTTCAACACTAGGATGCAGGGGTGGATAAGTTGGTTTTTTTGTTACATGGAAATATTTTAATGGGGTTACCAAAATGAAAAAATATATTTGCTCGCCTCGCTCGCATAACATATTCAATATAATAAGATTTAAAAATAGAACATTACAACAAGATAGTAAAAAATCTAATGAAAATCAAAATTTATTAGTATTTTATTTTAATACGAGAAAAGATTTTTTAACACTTTACTTATGGTAGTCACTTAGTCAATTATTTCATCAGCGTCAACGCTATTTAACAATACTTTCTCAATACTCGTAAGCATAAAACTTTCCAAACGGTCTTGTGACAATGTACTTCTCAAATATGATTTGACGTATTTAGTCTAGAAAACCCTCGTAAACTTAATATACATTTATTTATCATTTCTATTATACTAATAGTTTTTGATTATAATAAATAAATTAATTTAGCCTATATTATATTTTAATAGTGTATTCCAATAAATAGTATAAGTACATTTTATTTATAAAGATACTACTATTTTAACAAATAATTTAGTATTATACCTGTCAGTAAATTATTATATTACAAAAAATAATAAAGATAAAGATTGAGATTCTATAGATTTGGTCGCATGTTAATTTTATTTTAACAGTTTAACAATATACTACAATTTAAATAATAAATACAATATAACAATAAGTAACCATGGCTGATGAAATGAAATAAATAATAGGTATTTTTATGTCAGTACCAATGTTTTAAATTATAAACCAAATTTACTTTTGTTAGTAAGTAAATTAGACGATTCAGAATAACTTAAAAAAATAAACGATTTCAGGCAATTAGTGAAATACCAATTTAGATGAAATAGATCGTAGTTTGCGAACATTTTGTTGCGGTCGGCCTTTAAATCTATTTAGTTGCTCAGCATTTATGTACCAATATGGTTGTTTATCTCGTGGATACGTTTTAACGATCTCGACCAAATCTTTATCGACGTTGTACTTAGGATCCTTTTCAAAAGCTGCGTATGAATTATCATTCCCGTTAAATCTGTTGTCGACTTCAGAATTACTTTCTAAATATTGTGGTAACACTGAAGGGTAGCTATTGCCAGATGCATAAAATGGCCTTTGAGCACTTACGAAAATGAATAGTGCTGCTAAAATAACAGCCAGATGCAATAAAACCTGTAGAAAAAAATTATATTGTTTTAAAATTAAATTAAAAGCATAATAATAGAAAATCGTATTTTAGTCAACCCAGCAGCAACTTAAGTTATTGAGTGGGAAATGGAGCGTCGTGGTTTGCTTGTAAAGGCTAAACAATCATAGTACTAATATTATATCATTTATAACCATTGAAAGCTTATTTTATATGAATCTCATGGTAATAAACGTATACTGTAATTTTGGTAAATCTAACTGTAATCTACTAAACTGTATAAAATATTTAATTTGTATTAAGATTACATTTATTTTTTAATAAAATAGCAAGATTTTTTTTTACCAAGTTTTATTGATTATTTTACTTGAGAAATGTTTTTTAAGAGCTGGATAGGTGAAAATAAATATATTTACATATATGAAAATTTTTCTATAGAATAACAGATTTAAAATATTCAGAAATTATCAACCAATATTATATAAATAATTTTACTATTTTTTTTGTAATTATTAAGAAATACAATTTTTTTGAGCTGAATATTAATATATCCTATATTAACATATTATAATATTGTTATTATTATTATTATTAATATAATACTCGTATAATAACGGATTTTCGAAGAGTCAGACTTCAATGTTTTAAAATTCTAAAATTATTTTAGTCACCGTCGTGATACAGATTTAAGTAAAAAAAAAAAAAACACTTTTTTCATTTTATAATTTTTAGAAATTTTGAACTACGGAGAATTGTTTGCAGTACCTATTATTATTGATGATTATAAATCTAACAGCTTAATTTTCTCCTAAATATTTCTTAATTTTATAAATTAAATTTTAAAGTAATTAATTTAATTAAACACTTAACTTCATAAATACATATTATGTTTAGTTAAAAATCAGTATTATAAAATAAATATTCAAATTTGTCATCATTATTATAAACATAATACGACTTACGCAATGGTTTATTAAATGTTTCGTTCATACTAAGATTATGAAAAAGATTCTTGTACGTATAATAATTACCTGCATTTTTCCAGCAGATATTTTTTCTAAATAAATATTAATAACACAATAATAATATCTGTCGAAGATCTTCACGATTAGTTCGACACACGTTTAATACGGATTGCACAACAGTCGGATGCTGTTACTATAATCACACTGCACATTTAGTTGACAACTAAAATGTAATACACAGTATGGAGAAGATATATATGATATGTTCCAATGACGGACGGATAAAATAATCCCCTTCCATCTTATTCAACTAAACGTGTCTAGTGTAATCAAAACTAGTAAGTTTATAATTACGTTCAATGATGTGATATTCCGTTCACTCACGACTTAATTACAAATAAACAGTAATGATTCGTCATTCATGGGCCAGGACCATAATACATTGTAGTACCCACCTAAATAGTAAGGCACTATATTTATAGTTACTCTAAGTATAATAATGTTTTGCTTATGCGCCCGCTTGTTGTATATGACGAGTTTCGATGGCGAATTATAAAAATATTTCGAAGTAGATGAAAACTGTTTACGAATTACGCTACAAATGTAGGCAACTATTTTACCTTCGCGGGCCACCTTTTTTTTTTCAGTTTTTCTCTAAAGACCGCATTACAAATAAAACTATATATTATGAAAAATCCAATTTTAACATTTAATACTAATAATACCTTTATTGATATCAAAAATCACATTTTAAAAGGGGTGTTTCAGGGGGGGCAAAGGGGCAGTCGCTCCTCAATGGCCTATTTTTTCTTCAAATTATTGTTTTATATCACACTAGGAAAATACATAAAAATACACTGTAAAATCATGTATTAAGTTCACCATTCCCATCTATAACATGATCTAGTGACATCACTACATTATGAGTTACGTAATAATATACATTTCATAAAGAAATTTTAAAACGTTTTTGTGTATCTACATATGTTTATATATATTGTAATAACTGACGATGATACGGTAAGACAAATTACACTTATTAAACAATTAATTACAACTTATATCATTAATATTAATATTATTACATCTATATTATTAATTATTTTTCAATGCGATTGAATTTTAAATTCTCTAATATCTGACTATTAGATCAAATCATCGATAGATGAGCATTTAAATATTTAGGTATTCATAAAATTAAATAATTCAAAAATCATTCAAGAAATGTATGAAGATACCTTCTAACTTATTACTGTAAAATGAATATTGATTAGTCAACATATTTTATAATATCTAGTCCTGCAATACTATTGCAATATAGTTACACAGAAAGCTAAGATTTAATTTTTTTAATTATTTACATTTTTAAAAATATCGAAAGTGATAAAGATGTGAAAATGACTAACGACTGATTGTTTTGCATTCGTCTCGGTATGTTAATACAATTTAACGTAGTTTTGGTTTATATTCAAAAACAATGATAGAACAATGCATTACGAATTGGTTTTGGACAATACTGAGTATAAATAATAAAATGTTTTGAATGCCATTTTCAACGTTTTAAGTATCCATAAATATAATTTATGCAACTATGTGTAGAGCCTAAAGAAGTTTGTATAAGTGCAAAGAATATTTCACACTTAGTGTATACTGTTTTGGTCCACCTAAAATAGTGTTGTAATGATCATAAGTAATACTTTTTCTTCTCAAAAATATTTTAAAATATCTATGATTAAAAATTAATTATTGAATAAATTGTTGTAGGTAATATATTTACTAGTTATAACTAAGGCTTGGGACTTTAAGCAATCATATATTTGTTTGAGAAATATATAGGAAAAATCGGATTTGATACATATTTATTTTGTGATATAAGGATTTCAAATTCAAAAATTTTTATTGCATATTTTAGATTTTTTTCTTTACATGCATATTGTAAAATAGTTTATTGAGTTTTTAAGAAAAATGTAAAAATTACCTATGTAAATTTTATCTTTTGTTATATTATAAAAATATTATTTAAAATACATCTACAGGTACTCTGTTCGTTCTAAATCAATTCTATCTACATTTATGATATATTTATGATTTAATCTGCAATAATGCTGATTAGGCGATAATCAATAGTGTAACTATGTGTAACCACATTTTATTCAGAATAGCCATTTTATTTTTAACTCTGACAACACTATTAGTAAACACAGAATTATAATTACAAAATAATAATAATTTTTTAATAAATAAAAGTATACATAAGTGTGAAAATGAATTTAATTAATTTTAATCGTTAGGTATAGAAGATATAGAAGAAAATGCTGAATGATAAAAAGATCAAAAGAATACTCATTCAACAGTTTGGTAATTTTTTCTTATTTAATATAAAATATTAGTACTTAGATAGGTACTTAATAAGTATATTTAAGTAAAGATATAAAATCCTTTTTTTTTTTTTAAATTTTATTTATTAACGTATTATTTTAAATTAAAAATAAACATAAACGAATGATAAAATAATTTTTGTCAAATTAAAAAGTCTTCAAACTTTAATATAAAGTTATTCGTATATATTTATCATTAATAAATGAAAAAAAATGAGCTTAGTTTAAAATAAAAATAAAATCAAGAAAGTTTGAATATCAGATGTTGACAAAACGTTTTTATTTATGAAAAAATCGATACATTTAGTAGTTAAAAATTCATATAACTTTCAATTTCCATGCATAAAGCTTAACAATGAAATACAAGAGTTTTCATAAGAATTTCTTTATAATCAAAAATATTACTGGAAAGTCGCAAAAATATTTTGTTAGCGTTATAAAATGAAATTTTCATGAAATTGGATACTTGAAACAAATTTCCATAAACAATATTAGTTATTTAAATGTTATTCCATAAATATTTATCACATGGACTTCAAATTTTTTAAGAGTAATTATATTATGATTTTGAAGACATTTTATAGTTTAAATATATTTTAATAAAATTTCTGCTGTTAAAGGCTCTTACAATTTGTTTAAATTTCAAATGTATTTTTTGGTGAAAATTAGAACTTTAAAAATTTGACCTAACTTGTTGAGATATTTGATCCTATCATCTTAAATAATATATTATAAAATGTATATAAACCGATCCACTCTTACACTAAGAACCATTTTCTCAATAACAATGATACATTGGTTAAAAGACCAATACAGAAATACTAAAAACAAATATAATAGCAGGTTTAAAAAGCCAGTATTATACTAGTGTGATATAGAAGATTTAATTCGATGGGAGCTCTGAGAGTTAATCGGCAACATTGATTATATTATGTGTATTAATTGCAAGTGGAATTTCCCAGGTTACTAACTCGTAAAAGTCTGAATTACGGCCATCAGTTGATTTAACCATTTAAATGTAATCCGAGTTTTACCCAGCTGTATACGGGTTTTACCGAAGCTCTTCCTTTCACTTCAACATTATTATACACAGCGTATATCGGTAAGTATAGCATGCGGTGTAAGTTCTGAAAAACATAATATTGCGTCCTTTGGATTATTTTATACAATTTCTATAACATTCATTATAATTTATCGAAATTTTATAAACTATAAATTGGAATTCTTTACGTTCTAAATAATTAGGATTAGGTCGTATCAAAATTGATTTTGACACAGCTGATACATGACTCAAATATAATTTAAAACAAAATATGTTAGTTTATAATCGATGTTAAGATCAAAAAAATCGCAGTAACTATTTAGGGGTGATGTTTAAGAATATAATTGCCAAACCATTTTTTTTTCACTTAAATATTTTGTTGCTGTTATACTTTATGATTTATAAATTACGATGTATTCTGGTTCTGAAGCAGTTTGTAAAAATAAAATCAAATTAGTCATGTATTATTAAAAATATAAATTTTAAATGATCATATATATATATAACTACGGTTCACGGTTTTTTTTGTCAGATCTTAATCAGTTATTTTATCCCTTTATAATATGTAATATGTTTTAATGCGTTATGGCATTGTATAATGTAATGTAATATATATTTATTTGTAAACGTGATGAGTCTTTTTTTTTTTTATAAAAACACCATTGTCGTCAAACATAATATCAAGCACATCAAACATGTCGTCACACATAATATTGTAAGCGTTTGTATGTGTGTGAAGGCGTAAGTCTATTAAATTGTTAAGAGTATTAAGTACTAATAATAATCTAGTCATATTCTATTTAAATATCAGTATTTCATCAATAAAATTAGCATTATTGCGTTTTTATATTTCCCAGTATGTGTATTCGTCATACATAATATTATTATGCGTCTTTGTTTACTTGCAAATAATAATAACAGTAACCGAATTGTTAGAATATAACAGCCATGTGCTATCAGGTTTGTGTTCACCACGCTAATTAATAGGTTCAAAGTTTGATCCAAGCAAAATAATGATTAATGATCATTTTCTCCTTAAAAACAATATCGTTAATCTCGAAAACAATTTGTCATTATTGTTTTTCTTTTTATATTTGTACTATATATTAATTATTGTAGGAACCATAGTTATATTTTATACCATACAAAACATATTAAATAACTAATTTTAGAACATTGAAACTCATTAGTATTTAATATTTACCCGTTTACGTTTTGTATACATTTTACTCAATGAAGACTCAATGGCGTCGTTGCAATAACAATAGGTACATATTGCACGTCATAGACGCATATATAATCGAAGATTACGACGAGCACGTTTTAGGTGTATTACAATACAATATATCGTATCACGAATGTTCAATAATATAAAACCCATTAGACAGTAGACGTACACGCAGTCTGTTGTCTATATTTGTAATCAAATCCCGTACCTAGCCCCAGGACAAGTAGAGCGACCTGAACAGTTAGGATCGCAAGGCCACAAGTATGGTTATTATTTCGGTGACGCACGGAAATCCACGGGCCTTGAAGGACATTCGAGGACATTGGTCTGGGCACCTCTCTAGTAACAGTTTTGCATCAGAGAAAAAAGATAAAACCTTCGTTCGCATGACACAAATGTGTGAAAACGCAACTATTACTTTGTGAAGTGAGCTGTCATCATTTTTTAATCCTACAAAAACTGTTTTATGTAACTCGTTATAAGAAGAAATTAAATTTTAAAAAAATATAGTGGCATTACATTTAGTACTGACTAAACCATGATTTTCAAATAGCTATTGAGGATACAACAACATAAAAATCATAAACTGGTACAGAAGAAGAAATATTAAATTTATAGGTACTAAAATTTCTCTAAAATTATCACTACAAATTTTGTTTAACATTTTAATTAAAAATTGTATATCAAGTGTGACATACTAAAAAAATGAATGCAACGATTCAATACAAATTAAATTGTTTAATTAATTAACACTTGTTTTATATTTACGAGTACAAACCTTAAAGTCACTAAGAGCCTTTCAGTACTTGAAATATAGTCACGAATTGAATTTTGGTAAGTTATACGAGATGAAATCAGTCCAAGTAACATATCAAAACTGTTCATGGACATTCCAGTGTATTTGAAAATTTTCTCTGCATATGATTTTAAATCTTCATAAGTCCTAAAAAATTGTCCTTTTTCTAGTCTAGTACTAATCATTGGATGTACTCAGAATTTTTTTTTTTTTTACGTAATTTTAAGGAGCAGAGCACTCACACTTGCAACTTCAATGAGATCCATTATTGTTTTAATATTAAATACAGAACATATAACTAAATATAATATAAATTTTATAATAAATAAAATAAAACTAAATAAATATATTTGACGCTATTAGCACGAATGACGATATACTAGAATCAAAATCATCCGTTCAAGAAACTGTTCGTGCACGCCAAAATAATCGGAAAACAAAAAAACGATATAATACGGGAGCAATTCTGCTATCGGCCAATTGTATTAGTCCAATTTAAACATCGTTCTTGCGTGCCTAACACCTAAATGTTTAACTTTACTCATAATCATAGACGGATATCGGGGGGGGGGGGGGGCTTAGACCCCCCAAATATTTTAATAGCCCTCCAAAATCGAAACTTTGTTAGAAATTTTATTCGTTGTTTTTATAATTTATTTATAATTATCTGTTGATTTTTTTTGAAAATCGTAAAATAAGTAATAATAAAAAACTATTTACAATAGCATTAACAATACCAATTACATAGTTTGGCTGTTTGCGAAAGTAATTTCAGTGCACTGAAAAAAATAAAAACTTGGTTAAGGACATTATTGGTTCAAGATAGGTTCAGCAATCTTTCAATACTATATATTGAAAAAGATATATCGAAAAATATAAAAAGCGATGATATTTTGAGTACCTTCCCTAATACAAATAGTTATTTGTCATTAAAATAAAATATTAATTATTTTTAAATATACGTTATTTAGTGTTTTTTTTTAATACAATTTAAACATGTCTATATTTTTAATGGTAATAAGTTTTACTTTTTTATGGGAAGGGGATGTGGAGGCGAAGCCCTTGCGGGTTATTTTACATTGAATTATTATAGCCCTCCCAAAAATTCAACCAAATGTCCGCCTACGCTTATAATCTCATTTTGTGGTATATATTTGTATTATTACAAAATAGCTTAGTTTTTACTAAGTTTTTATTTAAATCAAGTATTTAAAAGCTTTACTCAGTAGATACAACTCTAATGTAAATACATTTTTTTTTCATTATTATTTATGAATTTAATAAAACCTTTAAAATTACCTACATTTTTTCAACATAGAACAACATTTTTTTTCATAAGTTAAAATTGTTTCCTCCCTAACTATGAGGTAAAGTTAATTTTTTTTTTATTACTTAAAAAGAGGACAATTGCGGTTAGATTATTTTCATTGAATATCCTTAACAATTATTCAGAAAAGTCAAATTATCATTAGTATTTAATTAAAAAAAAAAGAATATCAATCATAAACATTATTATAAATTAAAATTTACCAAAAACTTATTTTTTCATCAGTAGAGTATGCAAATCTTTTTAATATTAAAATAACTTTAACCAACTTTATATACACATATTTCTTTTTTTTTTAATAAATTCTTTATTAATTTTATTGAATTAAATAAAAATTATAATTAATATATAAAAAGATAATTTAGAATTAGAAATTAATACACAAAACTTATTTTTTTAACTTCAATTTATTGCATATTTTTAAAAGAAATAAAATACAAATATATCATATTATTATCTATTTTTACATATATAATTATATTTTAACTAACAAAAAAAAAAAAAAAAAACACTGTAAGCTGAAATATTTTTGTATCTTGATTGATGTTGAAATTACATACCTATAAAATAATATTAATAATAGGTAGATTGTATAAATTAATTGAGATGATTTTATGGTGGGAGCGTGATGACAAAATTAAAGAAAAAATAATTGTTACATTTATTCATATGTAGATACATAATATACTTTTTATTCTGTTAAGGTTCTGCCACAAAGGACGCATTCTGGAGTAAAGATTGTATGACATAAAATTGCACCACCACTGTCACACACACACAGTATTCTGTTTTGGTGATACATTCTAAAAAGCAGCGTCAGACGTTCAGGTTGTACAAAATTACAAAATGATTGTGCGGTCCGAGCGTTCTGCCTCGCTTGCTGTCACTGTTTAACAGTCTATTGGTTTTTTCAAGTTGGGAGAAGAAATGGAAGTACTCATTGAAAAATTGAGAAAATAAGCATATTTGTATGACACTTCACACGAATCTTACAAAAATGTAGTGAAGAAAGCGAAAGCATGGAAAGTGATTGCAGAAGAGCTGGATATGTGACTTGCATAAATATACAAAAAATTGATCTTCATGTGACCACAGTTTCCGATGTAGATGATGGTATTCACTGAGTTCTTCCCTTTTTTTCATTAATTCGGTGCACCCAGTATCATCTCATCTTTTCACCACTCTCTAATAGTACTAGAGGAGGACTTCATCCTCATCAGAACTACTCATTATTTATAAAAATTCTGCGAACCTGCTCTTTGGAAAACTATCATAATACTGGATCGCTCGCCTAAATAACACTTTGTGTGTAACGTAGCTATATAGCTAACAGCTGAAGAGAATACGCCTTTGTTGACCGTCGTGTCAGAATACATTCTGTGTGGTAGTTTTTAAAATTGTTACAAACTAAATAATATATAAATAAATTCCTACTGAAATTTATTAAATCCACATATACAATGGGTTCTAAAATAGTATTATTTTTAAAATTATTTGCATCCTTACTTTAAATTATTTTATTCTTGTTGATATTTTAACTATAAAAGTAACATATTTCTAACATAAGTTTAATATTTTTCAACACATAAGTAATAATAAAAATATGCTTATTTTGATATAGATATTTATTGTAGGTGGTGCGAACTTTCATCCTTATTTTAAAATATTATAAAATCAATGCTATTTCTATGAAAATAAATTTTATAGTTGGAAATATTTTAGAATAAAACAATATTTTATGAATGAAAACATTTTTGTTGATCAATGATAATTTAAATCATTATCACTGATTTAAAAAAGTATATTATTCTTAAATTTGATATACATTGATTAAAAACTGGTAATATAACACTTCTCCGTCGAATTAAAAATTGTTTAAATTAGATAACTATAATCTAGTTTTCAATTAAAAGTTTAATAACTAAAATATGTATATTAGGTTGAACAATATAGTGTATTATTGAAAATTTCATAAATAATAAAAGAATTTTTCAATATTACTATGATTTGTATTATAAAAAAAAATAAATACTTACTCATTTACAAATACTTATGCCAGTATGCTCGGTCCAACAATGTTTTTGGAGGAGCATGCACATAGTACTCATTTAAACCAGGTTCAATGAGTTTATTTGAATCAACTGTTTTGTATATAGGTTCACCATATAAAGTACCTGTTTCCCAACCTTTCACATTTTTCATTAATTTTTCTTCAGCATCACGATTCCGTCTCAATTGTTTTAAATACCTATAACAGCATATGTATGTATTTAGTATTTGAAGATATATTATTACGTAAATACTCACTCTCTATCAGCTTCAGCATCCAAAAGGGGTGATATAGCAATTATAGCATTACGTGATTCAATTTGGTAATTGTCAATTTGTCGGTCATTTAATAGATATAGGTACCAGCCAACACCAGTGCAAACCATATATGTACCAACTAATGCTCTAGCTGAAAAAAGGTTTAATATATTTTCTAAAAACATTGTTATGACATATAATTAGGATAATTATAATAGGAAACTTAAATATTACTAAATATATTAGGTTATACATATTATTATTATTATTTTATTATTTTTTACACCAAATTTTAGATACAAATACAATAAAAATAAAATAAAGAATACTTTTGATAATGTAATTTTGTACATGTTATATACTAGGGATTCACAAAATTTTAATTTAAAAAAATAAAAACCATTTAGAATAGCTAAATCTAAAATACAATATAAGAGTTACCTCATATTCTATATTTAATACATTCCACAAGTTATAACATTTTACTATTACTAGGGTTCAGTACTTCTATTAGCTTATTTGTTGGTTATGAACAAAAAATAATTAAAAGACGACTCAAATAAAAGAGAAAACTAACAGTTGAATTTATAATTTTTCTATTACCTAAAGTAAAAAGAAAACAATTAATGATATTCATTTTCTTTAAACTAGTATGGCTTAGATGGGTTTGTGCATTATACACAATAAAAAGTATACTATAGAGTGATGGATGACTGAAATACCCATAAACTAAAAATGTATCAAAAATTGAAATATCAAGATAATAAACGGCAACTAATTTTTGGTGCAGAGCCAACGCAAAGTATCACCATAAAAAATGTGATGAGAACAAATGGATGGCAAAAAATTTGTACTTGGTAGTATGAGAATTAAATATATTAATTCATATATTAATATATTATAAATGTATTAACTAATTTACTAATTTGTTATTATTGTATTAAAATAAATTTGTTACTAATATTTTTATATCTGAATAATTATACAGATATTTAATGTTAAAACGAATTATTTCAGAATAAAATACACAGTATATGCAAATAACATTCTCAAAAACATTCTTCAACATTAACTTTGACTTACAGCTTGCAAATGGTTTCGGGAATACTCGAGCAAAATTAATCTTTCGATAGCCACCTTTGGGCGGCATATCTTGTTTTACACTTTCTGCCGTTGCCGCCATAATCGCACCGGAAATATTTTAAAACCCTGTAAGATAAAAACAATGCTTGAATAAGAGTCATAAATGTATAATAAATACAATTTTTACCTAAATAACGAGTGTAATCTAACACTGATCCTATTATTGAAGGACAAACCAATATATTTTATTTTATAAGAAAAAAAAATGATAAAAACGATGTGATTATGATAAAGACTGGTCGAAATTGATAACAGTAATAATTATATCAATTCTCCTTGGGTAAAACTCGTCTACACTCACATGAATATCATGTTTTTTTTTTTTATTTAGAGGCGCATAAAATATTTGCCTCAGCGATTATAATAAAAATACAAAATTACTACATAAAACAACTAGGAAATAAAAGTTAAATAATAAACATAATTAAAGTAAAAAAGTATCATGTTTTTATTACCCACAATATTTTAATGCACTGCGCCTACAGTAGAAAATTATGCATTAATGGAAACATTTTACTTGTGTGTTGTATCGTAAATTTAGATTGATTTGTGCGTATTATCTTTGATATTAAACTAAAATTAACAATAAAAATTAATTCTAAAAAATTCGTTCAAAATATTGTTAAAACAAATAATTACTGGGTGCTAACAGAATTATTAAATTTAGGGATACTTATGAATCAAGGCGGTCGGAACTTTATGCGCTAAAAAACGCTCAAATATGTGCATTCATATACGTTAGAAAATATGCAAAAATATACAACTTATTGAATTATTATTTATTATTTTATTATTAATATTTATTGTTTATTAATAATTTATATAAATAGAGCTAATGGGAAAAATAATAAAAATTAGATTAAAAAAATAAATACTGCACAGTTGTGTATTGTTGTGTTTTCTTTTAAACTTTATATAAGGATCCCAGATTTATTTTTTAAAAATACGGGACATTTTATATCACACCAATTTTTGAAATTCTCATAGGAGTTATTTAGAGGAGAGGGTGAGGGGACTTATGTTAGCAATTTTCCTCACAGTTACTAAATATACTATAAAATAAAGTTTAACACAATATTTGATACTTCAAACAAATATAAATTATAATTAAAATTAAAAACAAATAATTAGGTGACTTAACTATTTTTTTTAGTTTTTTTTTTTGATAATCAAATATTATTAATTATCATTTGATTTAGATATTATAGTTTATTAACAATTTAAAATTTAAAAAGCTTACCGATATTAAAAAATGTATTTTTTAAAATAAGGTATACACGAAATAGACTATTCAAAATACGGGACAAAAGTGTTATTTTTATACTTTTATACTATTTTATTTTTTACTTATTTCGGGACATCGGGACCCTTTATAAATTTGTAAAAAAAATTGTTTCATTAAGTCTATGAAATATACATACAAAATTGTTTAAACCTAAAATATGCGAATTCCTACAAAAAATAGTGAAATATGCAAATCTATGCAACAAAAATGTTTGTATTTGAAATCTGCGTAATATCGATCGAATTTGAATCGAACCAAAATTGCAATATGCACTTTCTCAAGAAATATGCAAATGTTTAAAGTTCCGAGCTGCCATGATAATGTGAAGATTTGTATCTAGTACCAACTACAAAACTTCTAAGTGGGTACCATAGATAAGTATATATTATAGATAGGCGACTCCTGGTTTTAATATTGAGACTGCGAATAGCGCTCCAGGTAACTGCATGACAAACTATTCTGTTGCAATCGATGTTTACCGCGACATTGATAAAAATGGTGAGTACTATATAGGTACCTGATTGTATATAGGTATATCTACATTATATAATAATATAAATATTTTTAATTTATATAAATCTGTATTGTATATCTTTTAAAATAATTCATAACTTATTTATAACTCAACACGAATTATTTTGGTGTGAAAACGATTATTTGAAGAATAATCACCATACAAAAATATATTAAATTACTACCCTATGGATATACAACATTTATATTTGGATAGGAAAATATAATATTACCAACTTTCTAATACTGTATACTTAAGTATAAATGTATTACAAGGTTCAAAACGATCCTTTTATCGGAGGTACCTTGTTGTGAGTCTGCCAATACAATATAGTAATACTCTATGGTTCATATCTAGATTCCATTGAGTATAAAGTATATAGGTAAAATAATATTAATATATTTAAAATATAATATTATGATGATAATATAAACTAATATTGTATGACGTTAATAACGCGTTTTGCCGCCGCCAAAAGAACGCTGCACTGCTGGCTCATGGAATAAACGTCACATAGTGTTCCGCCATGATTGGCTTGAGGTAAGTACAAGCACATTCTTGGTTGTGTCGTAATGATAACAGCATTAATGACTTCCTACGTCGTTGCGTACTTTCGTGATAGTGCTTGTAGTTCGTTAGGTTTATTGTTTGTTTATTTTATGATAGCCGGCGAAAGTTCTTCTTAGTTGTATTATTAATGAATTATGAACCTTTTAAGTAAATTATTTTTGTTAGACAGTTGATTAAATATTAAGTATGCTAGTTAAACATTTTCACTTACCTAAGAAGTTGCTCGTTCCTAATACTTTCTATCATTGAACTACCTTAGTGTTGATAAAAGTCATTTCATTTTTTAATTATCTCTGATAATTTCTTCATCATCATTATTTTTAGTACTTATTTGTAAATTTATCGATCCAAACACAACCATGTCAGAGAGTGTAGAAGTTCAAATCGAAGACCAAGAATTTACATTGGAATCTGATAATGAATTAAGATTCGAAGTTGAAAATAAAAATGAAACTGTTGTTCTGGAAGTAAGAATTAATTAATTAATTGAATATTTAAACATTCAGTTGTTTTTTTATTACATGTATCATTCAGTTAGTTGATAAATGTTATGGTTTTTATTTTAAATTTGGTAAATTTTTTGTGTTTCTACACATTATTTCTTATGGCAATTTTAATTTACTTGATAGCTGTCATATCATCACAATTTTACTGAAATTTAGCTTATAATTGTATATTATATTATATACTATTTGGTTATAATAAATTCATGAATTAGTGATATGGTTTAAGCTCTATTTATTTTGGTACTATCCTTTTCTTTAAATTTATAATTGTATTATTTTACTTGTTTATAATTTGATAGTAAAATGTTGTATAGGTAATTTATTCAATTTAATATATAAGTAATTAAGTAAATAAGTATTTTAAATTTAAATATATATATTTTATTTTAGTTAAAAACTGGACTTGCAGAAATTTTTGGAACTGAATTAGTGAAAGGTAAATCCTATACATTCTATTTTGGTGCTAAAATTGCAGTTTTTACATGGCAGGGGTGTACATTAAAACTACGCGGAAAGAAAGGAATTAGTTATATATCTAAAGAAACACCCATGGTAAGAATAATTTTGTATAAAATGTTATATATTTGATATTATCCTTTTTAAGTTATAACTGACAAATTAATTCATTTTTATTTATAGTCAAATTATTTTAAGTAAAGATATATAGATTTAAGATTTATCCATAGGAAAATATAATTTAAAATGTTCAAGCTTATGTTTTATTACACATATTGCATAAAATAAAATTATATACAATTATATTATTTAATTTTTTAGATGTTTTATTTAAATTGCCATGCGTCACTTGAACAACTTCGAGTCAAGTCAGAAAAAGAAAATATTCGAGGACCAGTTACTATGGTGGTTGGGCCAACTGACGTTGGTAAATCTACTCTTTGTAGAATACTGCTTAACTATAGTGCACGAATGAATGCTCTTGGCCGTAGACCTATCTATGTAGACTTAGATCCTGGCCAGGGACAAATATCCATTCCAGGAACAGTTGGTTGGTATAGTATTCTAATTGTCTAATATCTTATTAATAGAAAATATTTACAGGTGCAGTTATGGTTGAAAGGCCAGCAGAAATAGGAGAATGCTTTTCCCAAGCAGCCCCACTAGTTTACCATTTTGGACACACAAATATGAGTATTAACACGACTTTGTACAACACTTTAATTTCTCGTATGGCAGAAGTTATTCATCAGCGAATGGATGAAAATCCAAGAAGTATATTTTATCTATTATAACTTAAGTTCTAGATACTGTAACTTTATAAAATATAAAAAAAAATTTAATAATTAAACCTCCCATCTATCTCAATAACGTGCCTCTCCCAGTCGCCTGCTACCTGGGCTTACCTCTAGACCGCTAGCTAACTGAGGCAACTCATACTTATATTAAAAGATTTGCTTAACCACTCTTGCTAACTACGCTTTCTTCTCATATCATAACACATCAACTTAAAAAACAAACTGCTGCTCAATCCAATCTGGACGTATAGTATTCTGCTATGGGGTGCAGCCAAGCACTCCAGCTTAAAAAAAATCCAAATTTTCCAATCCAAATGTCTTTGCTAAATAACTGAAGCCCCATACTATATATCTAATGACACTCTACATAGAGATCTATCCATTCTAACAGTTAAAAATATTGCAAAAGTTTTCCATAAACCTATACACTCTAAATTACACAACCATCGCAATCCCTTGATCTTTTAACTATCCACTAACACTATTCCTTGTGACCCCAAAAGGCGTCTTAAATGTACCTGGTGTCATGATCTACTAAATTCAAATGTAAAATTTATATACTTTACCTTTTTTCTTTTACTCAGTCTCATTTTCCATTCTTAACGCTTTAAGAATTAATTTTTGTCCTTAATGCCTCTAATGAGTAGCTTCTTATATCCTGTCACTCAATCCATTATTTTCTTCTTATTTCTTAACATACATTTATTTTAAAATAATAATTACAGATTATATATATCAATAATAAATGCTAAAAAATAAAAAAATTAAACATAAAAATGTAATAAAAATTAAACATACATACATTTATATAAAAATAGTTATACTTCACTATTTCACAACTATAAGGACTATGTAATATATAGGAGCTAGTTAAAATTAATTAAATATTAAGTATGAAGTTATAATATTAAAGTATTATTATTTACTATTTAACATTGGAGCTAGAAATTTAACCATATACTGTACTTATTAGTAAAGATGGCAAAAAATCGTTAACTATCAATATATCATAATTTCGATACATTGCATACCTAATATAGATACCGCGATATATCGACCTCTATTATATCGATATATCGATATATATCGGAAAATTTTTCCAATATTAAAAAGGTTTATAGACTTGCACACGTAGAACATAGGTAATAAGTTATAATTTATTTTAATACAATTTATAACTATGAGCCTTAACTTGTAATTGATACTCACTACAGGAATAATGACAAATAAATTGATTAATCAAAGCATGCATATTTAACAAAATTAAAAAATATTTTATAAAACCAGAACAATATTAATAAATTTAAATTGCAATTTTTATATATTGTAGTACAAGCCTAGAACATTATAATGAAAATAATTTTATTTATATTATTAATATACTAATATTTATATATAACATCCCAAATAATTTATAATAGTTTATAATAATATCTATTGGTGATTTCCCAAAGATTAATCACATTAAAATATTGTTAGATACGATAATATCAAGACGATATATCGATAACATTGTATCGATGTAAAACGTCACGATATATCGACACCATGCATGGATATTTTTTATATATCGTTGCAATCCCTACTTATTAGCCTTAAACTACAAATGTACAATATAAAACATGAAGAAATAAAACAATTGAGTTAGAAGTAAATGAAACTGATTATAAAAATTATAATGATACTGAGTATTTCCTGACTCTACATAATATTTAAAGAGTAAAAGATTTATGAAAATAATAGAGAAAAAATGTGCCTAAAACTTCATTGAGTTCCCAAATAATTTCCCAAAAGTTTAAACAATTGTTTGTTTTTTTTAATTAATTTCTTTTGAAATCTATATATTGCATAGTGCTAACTTTTTATAATTTAAAAATTTATTTTTCTTCATATATTATGTATACCCAATTTTATATTATACCATTGATTTTATAATATAAATATTAAAAATATTTTTGTTCTTATATTTATTAATTATTATAAACTTTTTTTTGATATAATAATTTAAAAAGAAAATTCAAAAGCGGTTACATTTTTATATTCTAATATTTTTATTGTATATACTATTAATAACATTTATTTACTATTAATAACAGTTAAGGCACTATAATGTTATAAAGTATTGTATTTAAAGTAATTAAATATTGTTTTAATGCATTTTTTACAATTTTATTTGTTTATTTTTAAGAATTTATGTTGATGTTAGAAAAGATATTTTTATTTTAATATTCAATTTATTGTTATTTATAATTTTTTTTTTAGTTAACTGTTCGGGAATAATTATCAACACATGCGGATGGGTAAAAGGCAAAGGTTACCAACATTTAACGCACATTGCACTTGCTTTTGAAGTAGATGTCATTCTTGTTCTTGATCAAGAACGTTTGTATAATGAATTAGTGAGGGATATGCCAGGATTTGTTAAAGTTGTTCTTTTACCAAAAAGTGGTGGAGTAAGTACTATAATAAGTTTTTATAATAACTAGAGCTCGAATGTTTATGACTTGGCATATTTTTTTTTGCGGAACCAGAATTATACCCTAATATGATATAAATTCGATTCATGAAATCTTAATTGCAAATATACTAACTTATTTTGCATATTTTGCATATTTGACATTTTTGAGCATATAAATGCATATATCGATTGTTTCTAGGTTAAGTAGTATATTTTATTAAATTATAAATATAATATTAAAAATTGTCCATATTATTATAAATTATCAATCATTATTGTGTTGACTGTGTTATTTTCAGTCTACAAAAACTTCTTGTTGGATCGTTAAAAGTCCTTCAAGTTTAAAAATATCAGCAAAATTATTGTTATACAGTGTAATCCTGATACTTAAAATGATTAACCTATGTATAATTTAATTTTAATAGATCAAAAACTAACTAATATTCTTTTCATATTTATTATGTATTTTTTGTAATAAATAGGGAACGGATTTAAATGCTCTAAAAAACAGGAAAAATGCCTTAAAAAAATACGATTTAATGCCTTAAAAAAATGCTTTAACATCAAAAATGCCCTGAAAAATTTTAAAAATGGGTTTATATTCAATAAAAACAAAATTTTGAATTTAAAACTTATAAAAAAACACATAATTATGAAAAATCTAATAAAAAATAAAAAAATATTTAAATACAATACAACCTTAATTAATTAACTTTCAATTATCTTGATATATGTCATACTATCTTCTTTTTACCCTTAAAAATAAAAAAATTAATAGGTATACCATTTAGATAGGCATATTCGTTATACTTTTACCTTTTGTTTCATAGCATTGTACTCGTATAATCAGGTGCTGCTTAATATTGTCAAACAGAAATCTTCGACGGTTATCGGCCAGTATTGTTTTGTATCTCGAGAAACTTCGTTCCACGTCAACTGACGTCATAGGTGCAAACTTCATATGAGCCATATCATCAACAGTTAGTTTTTCAGATATTGTACTATTTCGAGATGTTGCTTTTCCTTCCAAAATATTTGAAATTTGTGTCTACACGTGTCAACAATAATTTCGTAATTTCGTAACATAATACATATTTAGGTATTTTAATTTTTTTTAGAAAGAATGTGGAAAAAATGTTGAAAAAATGACTTAAAAACCACAAAATGCACTAAAAATTTCAAAAAATGCTCTAAAAATGCATTTAAGTCTTAAAAATACAAAAAAAATGCAAAAAAATGCAAAATAAAAGTTACATTTTTTAATTCTTTGATGTATGAAATGAACTGTTTGCTTGGAAACCAATGTTTTCGGACATTCAGAAAAAAATGCAATTTGCATTCAAATCCGTTCCTTAGTAATAAAGTAATTTTAAATATACATTCAAAAGAGTATATACATTTTTTGAATTAATATTAACTTTTTTTTTGCACATATTTGTTGAAAAAAATAGCTATATTTATTACATTTTATGGCATATAATTACATATTATGAAATTTTGGTCATTAACATCCGAGCTCTATTAATAACCATTATGACAAAATTTAAGTTATCCAGCTTTTATTTTTGATTATGACTGTATATAGAATTTGATGTGTGATGTTTGGTATCATTTACATTGATTCAGAATATTTTAAATCTCATGTTTTATTATTATATTTTAATCCATTATATAAATGTAGTTAAGTGGTTGTCAACTTTTACAATATTATATTAAGTGAATAATCATTCTTTTTAAAATCAGTACTTAAACAAAGTAATAAAGTAATTTTAAGTAAATGGTAATAAAAATAAATAAGTAATTTTAGTTCATTATCAAAATATTACTCTCTAGTTTTTAATATATGTTACAGCTACCTCCAAATCTGGAGAATTATAGAACTATAAACATTTTAAACCTTAAATTATTGAACGATAAAAAAGTTATTTTTTGTATTTTGTCGGTATGAGTTGATATATTTATGTTCTTAGTTCCAATTATTATGAGTGAAATGTATTATTGACTTTATTTTTTTTTATTTTTTTTCTTAGTACAATTTTTTTTCCGTATATTTGTAATATGAAGTATCTTATTTATCCAATAATCTAAAAGTCCTTTTTTTTATTATTATTTTGATTAATATAAACTATGTAATAATATAGTCATTATGTTATGTATTAATAATATTTTTTCAAGCTATTGATGTATTAACAATTAAGAATAACTGTAATTAATGTGAGTGCCAATTGTAAATTTTAAAATTATTTTGAACACAAATTTTTTACTTTCATCATCATCAGTAATAAACTAATATTTTTTAATTTTCACTTTTATATATCAATATAACATTATATTAATTCATTCATCATTTGTCTTATTTCATTTGTGTTTCATTTTATTCAAATTCAAATCTTATTGTGCAACTTGTTTAGATTGTATATTTTCTAAGAAAAATGAATCATTTATCAATTTTACGTATACTATCAATTAAAATTAGGCTTATTACAATATAATTAACTTGTAATACTATTAATAAATAAAATAATTTATATTAAATTACTTAGCTATAAATACTTACAAAATATTTTCAAGTTATAAACTGTAAATAAATGTCAAATTGAATACTTAAATGGTCAAACTTTACAGATTGGTGCATTTTAAATACAATAAAAAATTCACTTTAAATACTTAAATAGTGTTACCCGTTAAATTGTATGAGTTATATTTATATATATATAAATAAATGAGTTAAGCTTTTACAATATTAACTTATCTCAATACTTAATTTGTTTAATTTAGAGGAACACTAATTTAAACAAAATTTTTCAATTTTTTTGTAGTATACCAAGAGTTTTAAAGTTTATGAATTGTATTAAGTTGTTTAAAAATGTAATTATTAATGTATTTGGATGTAAATGTAATGTATTTTAAATAATTTTTTTTTTTCATTGTATTTAGGTAGTTGAACGAAGTAATAAGTTTAGATCGGAAAGTAGAGAAGCAAGTATTCGTGAATACTTTTATGGTTCTCCTAGGAATGTCCTACATCCTCATACCTGTGAAGTTAGATTTTCTGATATTAAAGTCTATAGAATTGGAGCACCACCTATTCCAAATACATTGATGCCATTAGACATGCAAAAAACTGATTTAGAAACTAAACTTGAACCAGTCACTCCAGGTAAATTATATATAGTGTATTTAATTTTATGAATCTTTGAAAATTGTACATAATGCTGTTTTTCATTTGTATAGGGTTAAACATGATGCATCATATGTTGGCTTTAAGTTTTAGTACATCAGTTGAAGAAGATGTTGTCAGGACTAGTGTAGCAGGTTTTGTTTGTGTGTAAGTACCTTAAATATCTTAAATATGTTAAAAATAGTATTAATGAGTATTTTTTTTCCAATAGAACAAATGTTGACATTTCTCGACAAATGTTGACTTTATTATCACCTCAACCGAAACCTCTTCCTGAAACAATTTATCTTTTGTCAGACGTACAGTTCATGGACAGCAATTCTTAAATATTGTGTTTAAAATGCATTGAGAAAATAATGTAATATTTTGTTTATAAAATAAAATTGTTCATATTCATTTAATTTTAAATGTGGATATTATTATTTTTGTCTATGTGTCTTGTCTGTATGAACAATTTTTTAAATTTTAGCTCATATAATGTGTATCGTGTCATGTGGTTCCAAGCACATAATCAAATGTTCAAAACTATTGTTGTATCAGTTAATTTTATATTGGAGATATGTTGACACACTTTAATATCATAAATATAACTTGATGTTTAATTATTCAGTTTCTAATTATGGCTATTTATTTAAATTAGATATAAAAATTGAAATTATATTATTATTAAATTAACGTTTTAAAATATAATATTTTTAGTAATGCATGTTATAAGTTATTTTTTCTATTATTTTATATTAAACCAATGGTGTAACAATTTTTGCTTATTTAACTGATTAATTTTTTTTATATTTTACTTTTCTCTTATTTATAATTAATTATCAAAATTTTAATTGTAAATGAATAACTGATTATAAGAAAATGAGATCATGTATGTTTAGGAATTATTATTTCAATATCATCTTCTGAGTGCTAATAAGATAGTTGAAGAGATTCTGAAAACTTTATATGATTCAATTTTTTTAGAATTGAATTTTATGATTGATTCTTAGGTTGTTATAATTCTAAAAAATATTTTTATATGTCATTGAACAATTCAATTTAAATAATCTGAGGTGTATTGCTTTAATGTCCTTACATGAACATTAAAAACTTATTTTTATTTGTACTGTCTATGTGATATATTTATCAAATTTAATTATATTTATTAATTAAAAAAGTTTAAAACTGTTTCCGTACATTTCCATTTGATTTATGAACTTGAATTTTAATTATAGATACAACATATAGGCATATGCTGTAATTTAGACAATTTAAACATTGAAGCCTAAAATTAAGCAAATAAGATAACAAGCTGGATGTGCTGCTCTGAGATTAGTGTCTGTACAATTGATAAGGGTTTTTATTTTACCTATACATACGATATTTTCATACGTGGGGATATGATGATGTTAATATTACCAGGTGAAGATTTAAAGCTCTGTAACAGAGATTGAAATAGTATTTTTTTTAATGATGTTTGTTGTTATAACGTCCGCTGTGAATTGTCATTCTTAATACACATCTTGGAACACCTTACCTGTTGTTTAATGTTTGGTTTGATACAAGAGAAAAGGTGGGACGCGCGAACGCGATCCCCGCTACCAAAAATTACGCGTCCGAGGTATTCGCATTAGGAATACTCGCAGGGGTCAACCAGCCCGGTGTGCAATGGGCAAGTCTCGTCCTGGAGGAACCGCCTCGTTGATCACGGTTAACCTCGACGCCAAGTAAGTATGCCGCGCGGGTGTACGGGCCGCGTATTTATGCCGTTTGGAACCCGCGCGTTCGTGGCCGAGCCACATGGTGTCACGACCAACACGAGGGGTCTGACCACCGGCTACCGAACCGGTCGCACCAGCCAGCAAGATGTTTTCCCGACGGGTTTTCGACCGTCCCGATGGCGGTTACTCTTGTTGCGTGATTGACGCGTACGCGAACTTGGCCCCGGCCCGTCGGCCGTCCGAGCTTTGTAACGGATTTGCCGGTCGACGCGATCTACCGGCGGTGTTTGGCATACCGATCAATCGTTTCTATAGCCACGGTGTCCAGTAAATATTTGTTCGTGGTCGACCACACGACAGGTTTGATCAATCTCGTGAATCGCGTGGGCTTCTGTCGGTTGTTGATTTCGGTGTACCGGAAACACAGGACACTGCTGAGTAATACTGGGGTACTCGGCCGTTGAACGTATTTCGTGAACCGTGAAAAACTGCGCCCTAAAACACGGTCCTCTCGTTTTGTCAAAAGGAAAGCAATTCCCTTCAATAAGTGTGTGGTGAGGGGATGGTGATTGATTTTTCGACGGCCGGGGAATGTATCGTAATCGGTGATATTCCAGTTTAAAAGTATTTATTTACTATTAAAAAAACAAATATCAGTGTCCGCGGGACGTATCACTCGCGCCAACGTGTTTACCGCAAGATGGCGTTGCTAACGTAGTTTTACATCCGCGAGAAAGCCGACTCATGCCGTAATAACGACGCCCGTTCTACAGGACCGTGAATTTGTCGACAGAAAAATTGGCTCGTATTGGTCTCTGCTCCCGTGTAACAATCCATAATATTTGATGTATGCCGCAATCGATTATCAGACGACTTTTCGTATTAACGTAATCATCAGTTGTAAGGTATTTGTACGTTTTCCTATGCGAACATGAATCACGACCGTGGTGAGCGAACAGGGATCCACGAACTAATATCGCGTTCGCGTTCTTTAGGTTTATTGTAGTCAATTTACGTTTTACACTGCGATCGACGTATTTTATAATTCATATTTTATCATATCATATACCAATCAGTCGTTAAATTAGTTAAAATCTATTGTAATGGATACCAGTCGATAAATATATCTTAACCAGAAGATGATTGGCTTTTGTTCTGGTGTTTGAAGAAAAACGAAAAGAGTATGATCGATTATTTATAAAGATGAATACCGATAATTTTCATATAATACTTATCAACGGTCATCTAAAAACAGTGGAATTAAGTTCGGTCATATTTTGGAATAAGCCGTGATCAGTAATTAATTTTATTTTTTTAATGAATAAAATATTATGTATACCAATAATATTTATATTCCTACAAGTAGTAATTTTTACACACAATATTTATAATATTTTGCTTACCATTTCGCCCAAAGCCACCACTAATATCATTCCAAATTACATGATATATTTGAATCTTTATAATCCTTATTTTGGGGATTCAAAACTGTGTGATATTTGGCCACACATTCAACCTCGTCTTTGGTCCTTATGAAATTTGATTATTGGAGAACTCATGTTTGAAAGACTGATGTCAACGAGTGTTCAATCTTAAATGAGTATTATTTCATATAATTAATTTACAACACAAGTCTGTCGTGTTTGAGCAATAGTCGAAAATCAGTGTTTAACGAATATGAATACATTTTTTTTTTCAATTTATTTTTTGTACAATATTTTGACCAGAAGAAGTGCCCTATACATCACTTATTGTATAAACAATTGTTGTAACTTTATGGAGTTCACGTCGTAATGTTTCTGATTTGTGCGTAGTTCTACATTTTCAAAAATTGATTTGACCCAGTCGAATCGCAGACTGCAGTGACCAGCAATTGTTGAATAAGCAAGTTGAACGTAAACATTTCGTGGTATTTTGAGTCGTGCCGTGTTATAAACGATCCATCGGTACGAATCAGTGTCCAACCATTCGTACATATGATGAATAGGCCAAATACTGTAGAACACAAATCGTGCAGGACTGCTCTGTAGGCACGGAAAGTAATAGACGTAATTTGGATTTTATACGAATCAGGTAAAGCAGCGTTACCCGTGGTCCTTCTCGGTATTAATTCTCGGACGGCGGCGGCACTATTTATGGTATTCATTGTTTTGCATTCGTGTGTCGGTGCTCGTGTGCCGTTAGATAGCGCGACCTTCGAATGTCGTTTGAAACGGGTCGGCCGACCGCGGTCCGGCAGACGAAATCGTGCGATCGTACCGTACGGAAAGCATTTGGAGACCCGGTGCGATCCGATCGCGGTGCGTCGATCAGTCCGATCGTGATGTCTGAACGAACCGGAGCTGATCTCGTGTCTTACGGGTAGCGGATCCACGGTACCGAAACAGTGGTTTGTCGGACCTTGAACTGCATATAAGCCCCGTCGATGCAGCATATCGGCATACTTACCTGGCGTGGAGGTCAACCGTGATCAATCAGGCGGTTCCTCCAGGGTGAGGCCCGATCATTGCACATCGATTGGGTTGACCCCTGCGAGTATCCCTAATGTGGATACCTCGGACGCATAATTTTTGGTAGCTGGGACTGCGTTCGCGCCGTCCCTTACATTCTTTCTAACTATAATAGATTATTAAATTCATGTGAATTCGGTGTT